CCAGGTCTCTGTGCCATTCCGCTGCACGGAGCTCGTATGGGTCGATATTTTGGATGCCTGAGAGCTTCTCCAAATACCGCTGTTTTGCGCTTGGTGTGAGCTTGTTCCTGTAAGGTCCCTTTTCTTTCGCCTTATCTTTTTGCATTACTTTACTTTCTCGTGTTCGTAGATCCGTCTCTGTCCCGCCGAAATAATAAATGCGCGAAAATAATAAATGCGCAAAAAATTAAAGAGCTCTTGAATGTTTAGTCGCGCTTCTGTGAAGTTCTGATGGCGTTGCCCCTGGCAACCGATAGCGTCTCCTTCCATCATGGCCGACCGGCTCAGACCCCGCCCACATCGGCACGTGACTCCTCAATCTCAATAGCCTAACGCTAATAAGCCTTATGGCAAAATTATTATTACAACTAAATTGTCGGTCATTAAATAGGAAAACTAAATAATTTTGTAGATGATTTGCTTTGTTTAGGCCTAACCCGACATCAGACATTATAAGGCCCGGACGAAGTTTTTTTTTGCACACAGTGACGCGACCAATCAATCACTCCTTTAATGCTGCGTTCACACCAGACGCGAATAGCGCGTCAAATTCGCGCCTACCGCGTCTAGTAATAGCCTACGCGTGAACACTTTGAATCCATTCGCGAGTCAAGAGCAACTGACGCGCGTAAAAAAACTAAAGTTTAGACTGGCTGCCTGCACATTCACTGTCCTCGCGGCTGCGGCTGCTGCAATTGGAAGGGGCTGGCTGCAGGACGACTCAACTTCCACGGACAGTTTTTAATATTTTATATCAAGATTTTGCTTTAGTATAATTTTCGGGATTCGGGACAACAGCTTAGATTTCGGGACTGTCCCGAATTTTTCGGGACTTCTGGTCACCCTAGGGAGGAGAAATCTGAGGGAGCACGTGCCCCCTCACTTTGAATGGGCATGACGCCACTGGCGATCTATAGATCCGCAGTCTTTACTCAAAATAATCCCTTTGAGGACTGTAGTATAATTTGTTAGAACGATTATATGAAATTATTGGTTATGAAGCTTATTTTTTGTGGTCTAATGATTATTATCCAGTAATTCATTTTTTGTACTCTTTTACATGTCAAATGTATGTTTTTATGTACACCTAATAAAATAATATATTTTTTTAATAAAAAAAAATTTCTTGAATACACTTTTGTTAAACATCAACTATAATAATTAGTACAATTAAATAACAGCGTATCTAAAAAGTAATGAGACAACAACAACAACAACAAAAAACAAACCATTCTGAAACGTCGTTTAACAGCCGTTCTTGAACAGGTTCTGCTCGATCATCTTCACTAACATCGTCTGGGTCCGATTCGGGCTCAAATTGGTATGGTTTTATTGACGCCGTTGTTTATAATACACCAAAGCACTAACTACCCGTAAAGCTAAGGGGTGTGACGTTTCCGAAAAAAGTGCACTAGGCGGTTAGCGAATCACAACACACTGGGCCAGCTAACCAATCTGAGCCCATTGCGTATTTTTGAGGGACTGGCTTCATAGAACCCGGAACCCATCAGTTTTTACAAGGAGGGACAGAGCAGTGTAGAATAAAGGTAAAATATATGAAAAATAATGCAATTTTTTAAAAACGAAGCATGAACACATGTTACAGTGCACCCCACAAACACAATCAAGCCTTCGAAAAAATGTGTTTTACCAGCCCTTTAAGGCCGTTTCTCAATATGCGTTCTTGTCTGTACTTGTGTTCTTGTCATCAGTCGCTGCCCAAGTACTGTTCCAATTCAAAGTTCACATCTAGCCAAGTCCAGTTCAAATCCCTGGATGTGTTCTTGATCAGCCCCTTTTACCGAGGATACATCGAGAGGTGAATTGTGCGGACTTGAGACAGCCAGGTATCTTGCACCAACCATCAAGCATCAATAGCAGATTAGAAAACAAGCCTAATTTAAAGTTTTACACTTAAAGGGTTAATGTTAATTTTACAGGTTTCTTATTATAATATATTTAAGTTATGTATTATTAGTATTACTAATATATTATTAGTATGTTACTGTTTTTCATTGGAGTCCACTAATAACAAATATTGTTTAATATAACTAACTTGAAACCCATAACCAAATATAATCATTTAAAATTTAACTTAACATACATAACACCATTTGCGCACATGCATGAATTAATCACTGCATTGCCAATTACACTGATATTGCCCTTTAAATAAAGCAACATGCAGCATATTTTCAGTGCGTCTTTGTCTTCTCCTCGACCTAAGCACAGGCTCTACTCGTATCAGGTTCCTTGATGTAAACTTAATTTGGAGTTTATGTTAAAAGACGCTTCATGGTGTGTCTTTTTATCTTATTGCTTTAATCCTCAGTGTTAAATGAACACTGCTCAGTGTGCACACTACAGAGTAGGGGTGTAACAATATATCATGTCACAATATATCGCAATACAAAAATGCAACAATATGTATCATGGATAGTGGCAATCTGTATTGTGTATAGTTCACCCAAAATAAAAATTACTGTGTGAGAAAAAGTTTTAATGTCAGTACTACATTAAAATACTATTTACAATGTTGAGCATAATGTGTTATTTGTTGGTCCTGATCATGCCAAATGTCTCGTTACATTATTTTAAATATATCTAGTCAGTGAAAGAGTGCAAGCATATTCGTCTGAAATAATTCTGTATTTTCATCTTCAGAATCATGAATATTGTTATTCTGGTGTCTCTATTGTCCTGTGCTTTGGGATTTCAGCACCAAGTCCAAGCCCATTCATTTACAACCCCAATGTAATATCAAATTTAGCATTTTAATCAACAGTAATTTTTTTGTTAACCTTTTACCATATGTCTTGGAGTATCGCAATTATATAGTTTTGTGAGTTCAGTGTCGTGATATGTATTGAATCGTGACATAAGGGTATCGTTACACCCCTTCTACAGAGTGAAGCAGTGCAGCAGTTAATGAGATAATTAAATGATTAATCAAGTGATGATTGACCATTCGTGATAACACCTGCTGTTCACAACCAAAATCACACTCTCAAAAAAAAAAAAAAAAAAAAAAAAGGGTTAACTGCATGGCAGCACAGGGTGTGAAACGTTTAGCATTAATGGAAAAACAGTCAAATACCATCAACTGACGCTACATGTTTAGGCTGAAAAAAGAGAGAAGAGACGAGCAGAAACACAATAACTACAACTGACTTCAGCCACAGCCTTAGATGAAATCAGCTGAGGATAAAAGAAGACATTAAATCTCTCTGGATTAAACAACTCCACAAACAGCATTACCAGCTTCACTTATTACTGACCAGACTGACTTTATTTCTGTCATATGTCTACAAAAGTTCTTATTGAGAATTAACAGAGGTTAAGATGTTGATTTATTGTTTTATTACTTAATTTAACTTACCCTGAGTGGGGAAACTCTAAAGTTTTTGGTTTCAGAACAGCTGAATTTAGTTCAATCAACTTTGAGTAGAGTTAAGTGTGTGCACTACGACTATGAAAAGCCATGGTCAATGGAGCTCTGAAATTATGATTCACCATGGCAACCAATAAAAAGATGTCACTCTACATACTTCCGAGTCTATACGCAAGTATAATTCTTAATCACTGTTAGATTATCAGGTGAAAACTGACAGAATGGTAAGTTATTGACCTAATACTCATTTTCATGGTATCCCACAGGCACAAAAACAAACAAAAAGAATGTGGCAGCAACTAAAAATGAAGTATAAAAACATAATTCAATCCAAGGTTAATGGGTGTAGGCATCATGACTTTACAAGCATTTGACATTAATATCATTCAGTGTCTATTTCAATGTGCAGCAGCTGTTTCCACATAGTTGAATGCTCTTTTCACATAATTAAATGTTCTCTAATCCAACCTGCGCCATTTCCTAATTAGGCTAATGAAATTAACATTTGACTTCTACTCAGCCAACAGCAAGAAGGCAGAGGACCTGCACCACCACTGATAGATGAAGAGGAGATTAACACAATACCAAGTGTTGGAAGAATATCAAAATCCAACAGCAAAAAGAATAACTGTTGCTTTTGTATCTGTATAGGAAATAAAGATGACCAAATAATTTGTGAATAATTTGTGTGTATTTAACATAAAAAATATCACATTTTTTTAAAGATGAATCTCAGCAGTTGCTTCACTATTGTGAAAGATCCATCTACAAACAGTTATCATTTTGAAATAACACATTAAGTCTTCATGCTTAAATAATGCTAAAAGACAATTCGTGCTAAGAATATAGTTTGACTGACTTAAAATCAGCCAATTAGACTATATTTTATTCTATCTTATCATCGTATTATCAAATGTTTTTATGTGTGACACCTCTGACTTGGCTAGATCAGAAATTTGAATATGAATACACAGAGTCCAAGATCCCGAGCAAATTGAACACTAATCACCATTATGGTGACTTCAACACAATTACAGTGGTAAGAATACATTTATTACAGTGGCATGGTTAAAGACAACTTTATAATGTAAATTCACAGTAAAACAAGAGCAGTAAATTACTGATGTCAGCATCATTCTGCTGTGGTTTCACAGTCATTTGTAAGAAAATTAACCAGCACGCGTTGATGTCACAGTAAATTTCTAACTACAGTAATTTATTGTAAAAAAAATACTCTTTAATACAATGTTTTTTTACAGTGTTCTTAGCTTGAATTTCGTTGTATGAAGCTGAAGTTCAGGACCATGAACAGCGACATCTCGCATCCTCGCGCAAGCTTAGTGATGGTTCTGCTGTTTCCTCAGCCGCAATGACCACACGCTTGCAGACATCAAACATCTTTACACTCACCAGGGTATGAGCGTGTCCTGTTGAGACTGACTGACTGTGCGTGCAGCTGGACTTCAGGAGATTTTATTGGTCGCCAGACATGACAGATTCAGCTTCGAAACCTCCCTCGCACGATTTGCGCATACCAGGAAGACTGTGGTTTGATCTCAAACACATCTCAACGAATTTACCTGCAACAAATGAAAACGGTACACTATGTTCTTCTCCTCAGATCTCTATTACTCAATGTCACATAAACCAAGAAACCCCACAGACTGAGCGTTAATACCGATGCACTGAATCGCGCAACCTGTTCGAGATCATCTGAAGATGAAGATAAAGAAGCAGAACGTGCGCACGCTCTCCCTCATCCTCTGCATGTTCTCGTACCTGCTGGTGGGCGCCGCGGTCTTCGACGCGTTAGAGTCCGAGACTGAGAGCGCGCGGAAACGCTTCCTAGAGCAGAAGCGCAACGACATGAAGAGGAAGTATCGCTTCACTGAGGATGACTATCGGGAGATCGAGCGGGTAGTGCAGCAGGCTGAGCCCCATCGCGCCGGCAGACAGTGGAAATTCGCTGGATCTTTTTACTTTGCCATAACTGTCATCACCACGATAGGTGAGTTTCAGTGATTCAGGCTTTGCATGCGAAAAAAATCTATAGCCTAGTTGCTACAAAGCATTACGAATATAGCATTTGAATTAGTAACGAACGCATGACTAATCATACACACTTAAAAATAAAGGTTCTTTATTGGCATTGATGGTTCCATTTAACATCTTTCTGCACAGAAGGTTCTTTATAGAGGAAAGGGTTCTTTATAGATTATTAAATTGTTCTTCACACTAGAAAATGGTTATTTTAAGAACTGCTCAGACAAAAAACAGAAGAGCAAAGAACAGAATTAAGGTTATTTTATGACATCACTGCAAAAAAAAAATTCAACTTTATTTTAAGAATGTAACCTACAGTTATAAAAATTTCTGTAACACTATTAGTGTCCTTGTTATTTGTAACATGTACGAATGACTGTAAATTATAATTACAGACCAACCCTAAGGCAAAATCTAACCCTAGATTAATGATTAATATTAATAAGTACACTCTTTGAAATTTACAGTGCTTTACTGGCAATTTTGGTTGCCAGTAAGACTGTAAATAAACAACAGGTGTAAAGAAAACAGAAATTTGATATGAATATTAAAGATCCTCTCTGTAAAATCCAACAGTGATTCTAACTAACACTTTTTAGTTAACTTTACTTAATGTCTTAACTTAATTGTAAAAATCTAGTAATCTGTACTATTCACATACTATGCTTTGTTTACTCAGAAAACCTAAATTGAGATTAACTGATTGGTTTGAGTGCGGTTTTTGAGGCGGGAAAATTCCTAATGGACTTTTCATTCATTTCCTCCACTTTTGCAGTTATTTTCTCTGTTTGCATTCACTCATTTCCCAAAGTCATCTTGATTGTTGAATTGTCAATACAACTAAAATAATAGAGAGAACATCACATAAACTGACTTGGTTTGCATGCTTTCTTTAGACTAACTAATTAGATTTTACAGTGTAGAGAAGTGATGTGAAGGCGAAGTATGGTAACCCACACTCGGAATTTAACCCACCCAAATTAGTGCAAACACATTAAAATAGTGAGCGAGTAGTGCACACACACACACACACACACACACACACACACACACACACACACAGCTTTGTTTTTGTGATATATGAGGACATTCCATAGGCGTAATGATTTTTATACTGGACAAACTGTATATTCTATCCCCCTACACTGCCCCTATCCCTAAACCTACCCATCACAGGAGACATGCTGCATTTTTACATTTAAAAAAAAACATTGTTTTTTATGTTTTTTAAGCTATTTGAAATATGAGGACTCATGCAATGTCCTCATATATCACGTGTAAGTTGTAATACCAGTGTAATATGCATGTCATTATACACATTTGTGTCCTCATATATCACAAAAACAAACACACACACACACACACACACACATTCTCTCTCTCTCTCTATCACACACACACACTCATACACATAATCACATACATTTCAGGCTGTTATTTTCAAATTTACTGTAAAAATGACAGTATTACAGTAAAAATTGCTACTTATTTACCTAATTACACGGTAACAAGAACACTAGAAAATAAAGTGTAAGGAATCTTTCTAAATAACATTGACACACGTATCTATGAAGCATGTGATTTGGATTGATGTGTGCCTCAGTCCTCCGGTCTGACTGAGATGTTGGCACTGTTTTTCTGCAGGTTACGGCCATGCCGCCCCCGGCACAGACGCAGGGAAGGTCTTCTGCATGTTCTATGCCGTTCTGGGCATCCCTCTTACACTGGTGATGTTCCAGAGTCTGGGTGAGAGGATGAACACGTTCGTCCGCTACCTCCTCAGCCGTGTCAAGAGATGCCTCGGGCTTCATCGCACAGAGATTTCCATGGAAAACATGGTTTTGGTAGGTTTCTTGTCTTGCCTGGGAACTCTGTGCGTGGGGGCCGCAGCCTTCTCGCACTTCGAGGGCTGGACGTTCTTCCACGCGTACTACTACTGTTTCATCACTCTCACCACCATCGGCTTTGGGGACTTCGTGGCTCTTCAGAAGAAGGAGGACCTTCAAGAAAAGACACCTTATGTAGTCTTTAGTTTCATGTACATCCTTGTGGGCTTGACAGTGATCGGCGCGTTCCTCAACTTGGTGGTGTTGAGGTTCCTCACTATGAACAGTGAGGACGAGAAGCGGGACGCTCAGGAACGAGCCTCACTGAAGAGGGGTCGTAACCTCACAGCCATGAAATCTGGGCGGGATAATCACTGCCATAGCAACCTCTTCTTGCCCATAGAGGAGGGCACCAGCTGCACCAACCTCATCCTGTCCCCGGCAGAGGAGCGCGAGCTGTACTCGCCTCTGCCCCTGCCGTTACACGCAAACCAGTGCCGGTCTCGGTCTCAACTGAGCCTGCTGTGCACCTGCATTTGCTATCACTTGGGCCTCTGCAACAGTCCAACCCCATCCCAAAACAAGTGTCCTGAGTGCAAAATTAACTCTGTGTACTACAACTCTGTTTCCTACAGGATACAAGGTAGCTCCTCAACCAGGAACAATACAGTTCTCTCCTCTCCAGGTAGCACACTTTCTCCTGGACTCAGCTTCAGAGAGCTGCCAGGCGTACGGAGGAAGTCTCTGTAACTAGTGGGCTGTTGTCTGGTTTAGATAGTGAGTATACTGAGGGAGCGTACATTTTGTAGCGCAAGTCAGCAAAGACAATACGCAAATGTTTGAAGTATTTTTAAACCTGTTAAAAATGAATAAGCATGTCTTTTTAAAGGACAGCAATCACTGGAGATGCATATGATAACTGTAACAATCTCTTAAAATCTCGCAAAAGAATACTATGAAATATTGGGTATTGAAAAATCCGTCATCCAAATACCTGTTGCAACACTGCCATATTTTAGGGTTGACAGGCACAGTAAGCCCCAAAAGAACATTACAAACACTGATAGATATCTGTTTCATCTGGAAGTCATCTGGCTTGTTTTAGGGGCACAATGAAAGTGTAAATATACTTTGATTATCTCAAACCTTTAGATTTCCGCTGTATAGGAACTGCACTCACAATGATAGACCAGCCTCATGCAAGCAAATTGCCTTTTAGTGTTTTTACATGATATCAGAATGTCTAAAGTAAAAGTCAGTAGGTGTAATATAAAAGTGTGGGATTTACTAAGAGACAAATCTTCTCACCATTGTGCCTTTGAGCAAGACACTGAACCGCTGGTAACATCGAGGGAGTTGGAGGAGCAGTTACTGTATGGTAATTCATGTGTTGCATTTTACTAAATATTCTTCTGTGGGCAGAAACAGATATCAGTTAAATTAGTATTGATGTACCCAGAGGCCAGCAGGGGGGGCTCACCCTGTGGTATGTGTGGGTCCTAACGCCCCAGTATAGTGATGGGGACACTATACTATCAAAGAACACCGTCCTTCGGATGAGACGTTAAACCGAGGCCCTGACTCTCTGTGGTCATTAAAAATCCCAGGATGTCTTTCGAAAGAGTAGGGGTGTAACCCCGGCATCCTGGCCAAATTTGCCCAGTGGCCTCTGTCCATCATGGCCTCCTAATCATCCCCATATATATATACACTGATTGGCTTCATCACTATGTCTCCTCTCCACCAGTAAGCTTGTGTGTGGTGGGCGTTCTGGCGCAATATGGCTGCCGTCACATCATCCAAGTGGATGCTGCACATTGGTGGTGGTTGAGGAGATCCCCCCTTCCATGTGAAGCGCTTTGAGTGCCGAGAAAAGCACTGTATAAATGTAATGAATTATTATTAATACCCATTGATGTTGGAAAAATCATCTTTGGTTTCAGTATTGAAGTATGTGCATGTTATGGTTGTTTTGCAGTGTTTGCACAATATATAATAAAAACCTTTGGCTGTGCTTATTAAGTTACTGTAGTTTTTATTGTTAATAATTTCTTTTCCAGTTGTTTAGCATGTAACTAGTACAAAAAAAGTATGATAAAATGAATCCAGAGACATAAAAATTATTCCCCATCTGATCGGCAAGAGACTTTCATTGTAAACCTTTAAAATTGAATTTTGAATTTAAGCTCATGGAAATAAATGTGTCTAGTTTTCTTGACGTTAGAGGAACGTGTTGTAGAAGCTATGATGTTCCTCAAACATGCATTCAACTTAATTTTGATTAACAATTCAACATTCTAGGAAAGTTGATTTGTAACATTCCAAGAACATAAAAAATGTCAGTTTCCTGAATATTAATAGAATGTTATTTAAAGCTGCAGTCCGTAGCTTTTCCTCTTTGTCGCCATCTCTGTTTGAAGTCTGCAATTGCAGTCATTCGCGGAATTATTAATTTTACGTGAGTTGTACATCGGCATGAAACAGCGCGGATGAACACAATGTTGTGAGGAGAGTGCGCGTCGCGGCTGTCGGTCACAGCGCCGGTGTGGATACTGGCATTCAGAATCACACATTCTACTTTTTGGAAGTACAGGATGACCAACATAAGAATTTTCACCGGAAAATGTCATCTGAACAAGTAAGTAACATCAAGATCAACTACAGGGAAAATGCATTGATTGCACTGCAGTAAAACGCGCTGATTAAATCTAACGAACCGTGCAAATTATACTTTGTTCTCAAATTGTTAATGTTAACAACATCAGCTTTGTGTGACTACATTTAATGTGTTTTATGGTTACCTGTAGTTCAGAATTCATATTCTCCATAATAGCTAAACGAGAAAGGCACAACAAAGGAAACTCCATAACTGTATGAATTAAGCAAACAATTTTTGTACTGTTACACGATTGAACTATTGAAATGTCTTACTTGTCCAGCAGAAAAAAGCGTCTCTTTTTCCGTTTTGAACCCCTTCAAAACACGGAGTTCACGCACCAAACGCCCTGCCTATGTTCCTTGTGTTCACATGAGACGGTTGCTGTCTTTCTCTAGCCACTTTAAATCCGAAGTACGAAGTCTTTTGGGTTTTATAACGGGTGAATCTCCAGTTGACACTGATGATTGTCATTTGGATCTTTCTGGATCCGCCATAAGTTCAATTATGTAAAGTGCTGTGAGAAAAGGCATCTCTACTCTCCCCAACGTCAACATCCTCACGCGCAGTATAGCTAGCCGAAACTCCTTCTTTAAGTGTACGGGTGTGACGTAATGACGCAAAGACATGCTCGAATTTCCCGCGAAAACCCACCAGTACCACTGGAAATAAAATCATTATTACAAGCTAACCGTTTTGAATCGAGCTACGGCAAGCAGATAGTTTTGAACACTGGCTGAATATGTTTTTTTTTTTTTAAATAATTATTTTGGATTATTTTTAACTTGAAAAAAGTTACGGACAGCAGCTTTAAAGGTTAGTATGATGTTTCTGAAACATTCTTTCAATCATTCAAACACCTGCTGTGAACAAGCACTGAAAGAAAGAGAAATAAGAAATGACAAACTTTAAATGAACTCAGAGCACTTGCAGTTACTGCTAGCTCACAATATCACACACAAAGTCAAATCCAATGAGTTAAGCTAACTCATTTCATTTGAGGAAACCAATTGCCTCAATTCATTTAAGTTGATGAAAAACAATAGTTATGAGTACTCTGAAATTATTTCAGTTCACTAAAAGTAGATATTGCAGTCAAGAAATTAAGTGATTAATTAAGTGATTGTTGAGCATTAATGATGAACACCTGCTGTTAACATCACTGAAGGACAGAGAAACACAAGAACAACAACTGACTTCCAACCACAACATTAGATGAAATCAACTGAAGATAAAATATTTCAAATCTCTCAAGATCCACAAACGGCATTACCAGCTTCACTTATTACTAACCAGTGTGACTTTTATCATGCGTCTACAGAAGTTGTTATGGTGAATGAACAGAGGTTTAGATGAAGATGATTTATCGAGTTTCATTTAAAGACACCATGATAGTGGTCAGTGTTTGCTTTAGTTGGGCTCTTGACCCTTGACTTTATAACACCAGTTTTCCTCTGGCTGCTGTAACTGAGTGTTTATATAACACATTTGTTATGGCACAAAAGCCAAAAGAAATTGTTTTGATGATGATTTATGGAATGATGAATCATCATTTGGTGTCTTGATTCTCTGATCTTTTCTAGATAATAATCTCTGATTAAACAGGTGATATATAACTTGTATTATTCTTTATAAAAGAGCTATGATTCTGCTGTAAGGCCCATTGCTGTGTCAATCAGATTTTAAAAACATATTTGGTATCATGCAGACTTACAGACATCAAGAATCAGTAAATTAATTTCAACAATGGTGACCATTAAAAAAACGATTCATGCTGCAATGCATGCTGGGAGCCATGGATAAGGTTTGTATTATGGTAGTACCCAGCATGCATTGCAGTATGAATAATTTTTTAATGGTCACCATTGTTAAGATTCACAAGCTGATTCTTGATATCTGTGTTAGTTTTGATAATGAATTACATTTTCTGTAAAATCCTTCATGCTGTCTGATAATCATAACATTGCTAGTTCTTATGTTGTAGAATCTAGTTTCGAATACAACTAACAATATAATCTGAAATTAAACTCTGAATGAGATCAGTGAATCAAGTCATTAAGTGATGATTGTCATCATCAAACCTTGACCATCATCACCCGATCATACTTTTCCTTGAATTTTGTGCCATAACAAATGTTTCATAAACACTCAATTACAGTAGCCAACGAAAAACTTGTACTCAAACGTCAAGAGTCAAGAGCCCAACTAAAGCAAACGCTGATCTCCATCATGGTGACCTTAAACCTTGTATTTCTTGTGTTTCTCTTTCCTTCAGTTCTGCTTGTTAACAGCAGGTGTTCATCACTAATGATCAATCATCACTTAATTGATGATTAATTAACTTAACCAGGCCCGCCGACAGGGGGGGACAAACGGGTCTGTTGTCCCGGGCCCATTAAATTATGGAATACTTGTTCAAAAATAAATAAAATAGGCATATTTGTGGAAAAACTCTAATATTTGAGTTACATAACAGCTTTTTATTTGTTTTCTTCCTAATTGTCCTTGAAATAGTGGTCAAGAACCCCCCCCCCCCCCCCCAAAACAAAAATGGTTTGGCCACTGATCAAAATTTGATGTTGTCATTTGATTTGAAGTTCAGTAGGCTAACGTTACGCTCAAAATGTCCGCTCAGCACAAGTCCAGTGCTCAGAAAAGAAAAGAAAAGAGAAGAAGAAAATAGAGGCCTTCGAGATGTCCTAAACAAATATTTTTAAAAAGGTGGTGACGGTGAAGCTGGAACTAACGTTAGTAAAGTCAACGTAGAGCAAGGTAAGAAACAGCGCAGCCAACGTTTATGAGTGTTGTCAAAGACCCGGTACTTCGGTACCAAGTCGGTACTAATTTTTTTAAACATCACGCCACGGTACCAGGTTTTCTCAAACCCGGTACTTGATGCGCGTGCATGCCCGAAGCGCGTGCAGTTGCGTTCTCTTCATAAAAGCGCTGAGACATGGCGACCGGCGGTGCTGCTGATGTGGTGTCTGTAAATCCACTAGTTGATAAGAAAGGAGAAAAGAGCCACATATGGAAATATTTTGGATATTAGCTCATTATAGCGACGCGGCGTGCTCGTTTTTACAGGCGCGCCTAAGTTCATTGTTGCATAGCAACGACAGACGCCAC